AAAAGTTTTGTCCTCGTTTCTAGCTCAAAGAAATGAAAAATCCGTTTAAAAGATCAAAGAGAAAAAAAATGAATATAAAAATTAGCAAATTGTCAGACTTTTGTATTGTAATGGGAAAATTAACAAAATCCTTACAAAATCCATCATGTCCGTATGACTCGGTGCCTCTAAAACCAGAAGAGACGAGAACCGTACATCTTTCAAGAGATTGAATCTTTAGGAAAATTGGACGGTCAGAGATGATAGAATAAAGATCGGTGGAGTAAGTGAGAAGTATGGAATTAAAAAGTACCGTAGCTTATGTTATACGGTTTGCATTAAATGGGACTCTCAATATCAGTATCATCATCAGATCCTAAAATTTATAAGAACGTGCGCCAAAAACTTTCAATTTCATTTTCGTTATAAAGGTTCTCTCTTTTAATTCCCCTTACGTAATGTGTTTTTTTTTTGTCCACTAAAATTTATAAATGCAGTTTTTCAGAATTTGTATTCACATTGGAAAAGTTTAATGAAAATAAGCGAATATTGGTTTGCATTACAAAACGATTTTTTTTTCAGTCTAGGCTCAAGTTTTTAGGCCCATTGAGCCAACATCCAAGTCCATAGGTCCGTATCCCTTTTCATTCACAAGAATACAAGATACTACCATGGAGGCCGAGTAAAGTTTCCAAAGTTTATTAAAAAAAATACGGGAAAAAACTGAATAAATCGTGACATGGCCTATATTGGATTTAGAGATTCAAAAAACTTTGGACGAAAAAAAAAAAAAATAATAATTACTAAAACAACTTTTAGAAAAGTAGGTTAATTACTAGAATAATTTTTATTTAACTTTGAAACTCAACATAAGTTATAAAAGACAATAAACTTTAATAACAAATTTTTATTACGAAAATGCCATTCATAATTTATATATATAAAAAAAAAATCAAACATTTGTTTGAAACCACAGCCGCGGAAATTGCGGAATCACCGGATCGTGCTCGGCAGAGGTGTGGAGGCTGCGGAAGCATCGAGATTTAGGTAAAAATTGGATTAAAAATCAAAAATTAAAAAAAAACTCAAAATCTTTTGATTTTTTGTTAGAAAATGGATATATGATGTTAGATCTATTAGGTTTAGGCAAAATCCAGTTGAAAACGAGTTAAAACACAGTAAAAATGAGCTAAAAAGTGGCTGGCCGCCATTGTTAGGGTTTGAGAGAAACTTGGTGTTTGGAGAAAATGAAGGGTAAATTACGATTTTACCCTTTATTGGTATAAATAAGTCTACCCCATATTATAAATCTACCACTACCACGATTATAAATAAGTCTACCACATATTATAAATCTACCACTACTATAAACAAGTCTAAGGTTGTTTTAGTAAAAAAGTGAAAAGATTTCTACCATTACAATAAATAAGTTTACCACATATTATAACTCTATCACTATTATAAATAAGTCTACGATTGTGCGAACCATCAATAAGTCTACCGATCACAAAATAACTCTACCACTACTACTAATAAGTCTATCACTCAAAAATAAATCTACCACTACTATAAATAAGTCTATGATTGCGCGAACCATCAATAAGTCTACCGATCACAAAATAACTCTACCACTACTACTAATAAGTCTATCACTCAAAAATAAATCTACCACTACTATAAATAAGTATACGATTGCGCGAACCATCAATAAGTCTACCGATCACAAAATTAACTCTACCACAACTAGAAATAAGTCTACCGATCACAAAATTAACTCTACCACTACTACAAATAAGTCTACCACATTTTATAAATCTACCACCACTATAAATAAGTCTACCATTGCGCGAACCATCAATAAGTCTACCGATCACAAAATTAACTCTACCAATAAGTCTATCACTCAAAAATCTACCACTACTATAAATAAATCTACGACTGCGCGAACCATCAGTAAATCTACCAATCACAAAATTAACTCTACCACTATAAATCTACCACATATTATAAATCTACCACTACTATAAATAAGTATACCATTGCGCGAACC